TTGTGAAATTAACCCATTTTGTTTTGGCTGCCAGAAACCTCCCAGACCACCCCTTTGCAAAATATTATTTGCTGTTTATACTCTAATCACTTGGAGATGCAGCTCTGATAAAGAAATAAACTTGAAATTTAACAAACCATTCATTCCATGATGTGATTTTCATTATAATCGTTTTTAGTCATTGTAAAATTAATGCCGCCTTCCTTCTAGAAAAATTGGAAAATACAAAAAAGTGAAAAGTAAAAAAAAAACAAAACCCAAAACCACTGTGATTTTTATTATTTTAATGTAAGCTTGTGATGATTTTTGGTTGTATTTCCTTCTAATCTTTTCCTTCTTTAAAATTCAGTTTCTAGGGACGCGTGGGTGGCTCAATCGGTTAAGCATCTGCCTTCAGTTCAGGTCGTTATCCCAGGGTCCTGGGTTTGAGCTCCATATGGGGCTCCCTCCCTGCTCAGCTGAGAACCTGCTTCTTCCTCTCCCCCTCCCGGTGCTTTTTCTTTCTCTCTCACGTGCTTTCTCTCTCTCTCAAATAATTAAATCTTAAAAAAATAAAATTCAATGTATACTACTCTGTTCAGGTGTAGCAACTTCCATGGTCCTATTTGTTTTCTCTTCATTTCCGTGAAGTTGTTTTCCTGATTGTTTCTCTTTTGTTGGAGTCACGTGTTTCTCCTCTGGCTGTGCAGTTGCGGGGCTCTCTGGACACAGGCACTGAGGAATGGTTTCGGAAGATTATTCCTGGGAATCACCACCCCAGGCTGTTCCAAGAACAGCTCGTGAGGATTCTGAAATCCCTTCCAAGCAAGGAACATTTGGAACAATTCCCTGCGTCTCCTGAATGGGCGACCAACCTACCCAGATGGCCACCTTGATAGGGACTACGGTTTGTGGGTGGAAGTCCGCTGTATCCTCGGGGCTCCGGCAGGTGGGGGTGGGGGTGTCGCGGCCGCTAGGCCGCTCCTGGTGGCGGGGCCCATCCCCAGGAGCAGCCTGCTGTGCTGAGCTGGGAGTTTCCCGGTAGGCGCCCGCGACTGACGGGCCGGGGGCGGGGCCGGCCGCGGCGGGCGGGAAATAAAGGAAGTGCGAGCGCGGCGGCTGCGTACTCCGCGCGCCTCGGGGACTTTGCCTGCAGTCAGCCTAGACCGGCTCCCGGCTCCCGGCGCCCCTCGCTGCGGGTCTCTCGGCGTGCTGTCACGGCCGCTGGGTCGGTGAGTAGCCCCCAGCTGCCCGCGCGGCCGTCTACGCTGAGCTGCAAGTTCAGGAGCTCCTGTCTGCCCGGCGCGGGGCTGGCTCAGCGCTCGCTGCCGGCCCCACCGTCCCAAACACAGCCCCGGACCGCCTATGGCTGTGGGGCCGGACGGCGGGCGGGGAGGCGCTGCTGCCAGGTGCCACCCGGCCCGAAGCGCCCCGTGCGCCCCCAAGGCCGGCAGCCCGCGACCCCACGCTTGGAGCCTGCCGGCCCTCGGCGCCCGACGTCGAGGCAGCCTTTCACCCTGCCCCCCGTCCGCCTGGTCCCCTCCTTCGGTCCGCGCGGCCCACACACCGCCTGAAGGGCTCCCCCCCCTCGGAGGAAGGACACATGGGGACCCCGGGGAGCCGGAGCGGGCCGGCGCGCGGCTCCCGGATTCTCTTGGGTAGGCTAGAGAAGGCTTTATAGTCCCCTCTCTGAGCTAGTCTTCGGGTTTGGCCGGCGGCTTGTGGGGCCTCGGCCGGGGTGCGGTCGGGGGGCTGGTGGGTGAGGACTTAAGACCTCCCCCGCCCCAGGGTGGGTGGGCGGTTCGCAGTGCGATTTGCGGCTGCCAGGCCCAACCTCTGAGATGAGAAACCCGACGGGAAGGATCGGGTTCAGGTTACACATCTGTTTGTTCAGCACCAGATCCGGAACCTAAATCCAGACGCAGACCTTGGGCTCTGGTCTCGGGCACTTTTCCCTGTTTTACCCCTGCCTCAGTGTGGCCAAAGAGCCTGTCTTAGAACTGTTAGAAATTACATGCATGTACTGGCTGGTGGTAGAAGTTAGTTTGTTGAATGACTTTGTAACCACAGGGGACCCTGGGAGAGCCCGAAAGCCCTCAGCTACCAAGTGGCTGGTCTGGCAGGGGTTTTTCTGGAGTCGAAGAGGGACAGTGGTGGTGACAGTGAGGATGAGCTTGAGGAACACAGGTAAGGCCTTTTGGGATTGGATTGGTCTGGAAAGGATTGAGGAGCAGGAAACCCAGCACAGAGTGCACCCAACTTTTCAGGCAATTACCTAATTCCACTGCCAAGCCTGCCTGCCCTTCCTGCAGATCTTATCTGGCTGCCCAAGCCTCACTTGGTGGCATCTCAGCTGGTCTCTTTCTATAGAAGGGAGCTGGGGGAAGCTGCTGAAGGATGTGGTTTGTCCACATTCCATCTCCACCCAACTGGGGTGAGTGGCAGGCTCTGAGTTGGGGAAGCCTGTCCTGGGCCTTAGTCTGTGCCATCTTTTTTTTTTTTTTTAAGATTTTATTTATTTATTTGATGGAGAGCTCGTATGCAAGCACAATCAGGGGGAGCGACAGAGGGAGAAGGAGAAGCAGGCTCCCCACAGAGCAGGGAGCCTAATGTGAGGCTCGATGATGCGGGGCTCAATCCCATGACCTGAACCGAAGGCAGACACTCAAAGGACTGAGCCACCTAGGCACCCCTGGTCTGTGCCATCTTGACCCAGACCTTGAACTGGGGCCCTGAGAGGCCACTGGAAGTCTTCAGTGACTGTTCCTGGTTTTGGAGCAAGAAGGAAAGTGGGAAGGGGACTTCTGGTTTTAAAAGTTTAGGTGGGGGACGCCTGGGTGGCTCAGTTGGTTAGGCTGCTGCCTTCAGCTCAGGTCATGATCCCAGAGTCCTGGGATCGAGTTCCACATCCGGCTCCTTGCTCAGCTGGGAGCCTGCTTCTCCCTCTCCCTCTGCCTGCTGCTCCCCCTGCTAGTGCTCTGTGTGTCAAATAAATAAATTTAAAAAATCATTTAAAAAAAAAAAAGTTTAGGTGGGCAGAGCTCTAGGGAGGCCTTGTTGGGAAGGGGGTTGGTGTCTAGCCTTTTACTGCTGCGGGGCATATGTGTGTGTTCTGTCCCTCCCGCCCAGCGAGAGAAGAGGTGCAGGGTCGGCACCCTCAGGAGGCCTGGTGGAGGACTTCACAGGTGGGGTTTAAAGGCAGCCTTCTCACGGGCTTCTTTGAGTACTGAGGTGCCCAGTGCCCATGCTGTGCTGGGCATGGGGCAGTGTGGTTCATGAGGGACAAGGTGCTGTCTCATGGGAATGGAGACATAAACTGGCTACTGTCATAATCAGGATGCAGGCTTTGGTGTATTTGTTGCAAAGAGCTTTGGGAACATGGGGTGTGTTGCTGTTAGCTTTGTCTGAAGAGGTTGGGCCATCTGAAGGGGACTCTGAAGAATAAATAGGATCTTACCAGTTGAATAAGGTGGGAAAGTGCACTCAGGGCAGTGCAGGAATGCTGGGGTAGGGGTGCTTAGATGGGAAGGGGCATTGCATGCCCTCCTCTGAGGCCTTGCCCAGGGAAGCTCATAGCCTTAGCCAACCTGGGGAGACTCATTGGAAGAACTGCTGGTTTTACTCATTGCAAATGAGAACTGCCTGTCAGGAGTGCTGAGGCCATATGGAGGAGCAAGTCATTGGATGATGGAGCTTTCCAGGGCAGGAGTGTTGGCTTGCAGAAGGTCAGTGAATGACATTTGGGCTGTTCTCTTCTTCTCTAGTGTAAGGGACTGTGATAGGATGTTGCCATCATGATCAAGGACTGTGTGTTCCTTGGTGGGTAGTACCCAGCATGCTGGCTCTGGATTCTCAGTTCCTGAGAAGACTCACTCTAGAGCTGTGGCTATTGGAAGCCCTTTCTGTGCTTGTACCTCTGGTGACCATTTGTCAGTCTGGGGTTTTGGAGGGCAGTGCTGTTCTGGATGCCCCCTGAGGCTAGCTACCCACCCTACTGGGACTCCTATGCATAGGATCCCATTAGCAGTACCTTGGCTGCCACACCTGGCTGGCCACCCCCAGGTGATACGTGTCCTTGCCCAAAGCCACTGAGGGGTCTGAAAAAGACAGCTAATTGAGGATGGTGATAACATACAGATAGAGTTCACTGTGGGCCTGATACACACATGAATAACTTCATGTGTATTAGTTAGCTCATTTGGACATCACAGTAATCAGAAGCAAGGTTATCATCCTTACTCTTCAGTTGGGGAAACTGAGGCATGAAGTAATTAAGTAACTTGCCCAGGGCCACAGCCGAGGAAGTCAGACCCCAGAATCCCAGCTCTAAGTGTTACATTGCACTGCCTGGATTTCCAGGCTACTCACTAGCCCATTTTCCAAATTCAGCCCATCCACCTCCGCACCTCTACACCAGTTAGACGTGAAGGGGCAAGGAGCAGAGAGAATGGCTGTGGGCTTTCTGTGGACTCCCCTCCCCTGCAGGCAGCTAGTGATGTGTGTGGGACAGGATGAAGCTTCAGGGAGCAGGGCCGTGGACCCGCTGGGTGGGATTTAGCCCCACAGGTTCCCCAGCCTCCCATCCCTGTGGCCCATTCCTTTCCTTGCCTTCCCTCGCTCTTCTCTTCCTGCCTGCAGAGGTCAAAATGGGAGAGTTTCAGATGAAAGGCCGACTCCATGATCTGGATGAACCATAAAGCAACCATCGAATGGAAATTGTGGTTGGCTTTTTGTGTCCAGAGTCCTAGAAGCCACCAACTTAGAAAATGAGGAAGTGGTTTGTTTTAAAGTAACCTCTCCCCTTGATAATCCTATCTGTTGGTGTTGGGTGTTGGAGACAGGTGCTAGGTGGTGGAGTTTTTGAGCCCCTCTGAGTCATAGACCAGGTTTAAAAGGGGGCTGGTTGCATTCAGACACCCAGAGTGGTGGGACTGAAACTGCCCTGTGGGGCCTGGAAGACTGCCCTTGTGGAAGGATGTGGGAATGCCACCATAGGAAGAGAGGCATGCCTCCTGGGTCCAGGGTGTCGGGATCACCGTGGAGATCCTGGCAAAGCTTCGTGCCTGGGCTTCTGCCTGGTCTGAATGGGCTCCCAAGTCCGAGCTTAATAAGCTCCCGCCAAGCTGCTGGCTGTGAAGACCAGCAGGGCGGGTCAGCAGTTGCCTTATATGCTCCCGTGCTTAACAAAGTGCCTTTCTTCAGAGTTAGGAAAGTGAGTACTGTGTTCTGGTCTGGTGTGGGCCAGTCTTTGGAATGTGAATGTAGCCTAGTGTGGTGAGTGGGGGGTGTCTGAGCTTTCATCTGAGGCCAGCAATGGTTATGCTGTTTTTCTGTCAGTGGGCATCTGTGTGTCTGTAGTTGGTTTCCTTTGCAGAACGATCTCAATTCTCACTGGAATTCTGGGAAATGCTGCAGTTGTGAAACATCCGTGATGGGGTGTTTCTCACGTATATGCTCATATTTAGACAAATGTTCGGGTGTTCATGGCCCTGGGTCTAGGACTGGGCCATGTCCCAGGAGCTCGGACTTGGATCTCCACACCCTCATGCACAGCACCCCCACCCCCCAACACCCACTCCTCCACCAAGCTAGAATGAAGGGTAAGAATGTCACAAGGCTGGGAGTGCCCCTTTTACAAAAGGGAAAGTGAGGTCACATGGCAGGTTGAAAGCCAGCTGTGACCTGGGTCACGCACAGAGGTCACCAGAGAGGATCCCTCTGTGGTCTGGGAATGCATGAGCCTCTTAAATGCTGCCGGGCCCCAGGGACTTAGGGAGTTTGGGACTTTTCTGGGCTTTTCATCTGTCTTTCCAGTCTTTCCAGGGAGAGCCAGCTGAAGTCTGGGGGATTAGTGTTTAGTTAGGGCTTGGGAGATATGACAGCAGTAAGGAAGCAAAGGAGGAGGTAGTAGATGGGGGGTGGGGGTGAGGGCCTGAGTCAGGAAGGCCTGTGCAACATAGTGTGGGGATCCCACTTGGGTGGGAGTAAGTGCTGGAGAGTGACACGGAGCTCAGTAACTCTGGTCCTGTGAGCGGTAAACCAGGCCTGAGGTCACAGGCATATGTATGCCTCGGTTTGGGAGAAGGCCAGCTGGGTAAATGAGTCACAGCACCAGCAGCCCCTCTCAGCACTAGCGAGAGTGTTACTTATAATGGGTCACCATCTGGGAAGTCCAGTCCGGATGGGAAGAGCTGGGAGGGGCTTCTGCACCAGCAGGCAGCTCCTTGGAGATAGAAAGGAGGAAGCCAACTCTGGGGAATGGTGAGCTGAGGGTGCTGACTTCTGGTGAGGGTGGGCACTGTGTTTGGGACTGTCCCTTCACCACCTTCTGGGCCCAGCCACCTCTGTATGTATGGTAGTGGGGGTGGGGAGGGAGAGAGGACCAAGGTGAGGCTTAGCACCCCCCAGGGACCCTGGAAGGCAGGGTCTGCTATCAGAGAGGAGGTAAAGTACCCTTGACTGGAACCTCTTCCACACTTTCCAGCAGGTATGTCCCGCCCCCGTCCTGGAGAGAGGGTAGGGTTAGGGTTGTGAGGCCATTGGGTTGGTGGGCTGGCAGGCCCCTGGGTCTGGGTGACAGCAAGCCTTGAGGAAGATGCCTCTGTAGCCCATCATACTTTCGTTGTCCCCCAAATTCCCCACCGTTAGACCAGCTGGCCCCCAGGTGTCCATCGCTTCTCAAAAAGCCCAGTTTCTCCCTGGGTATCTCCTAGGAACCTTGGTAACATCCAACCTCCCACACTTTTTCCTGGCTGCCTGGGAAGCTGAGTCCAGGGCCATTGCTGGTCATGACATCTCACTGGGGTAGTGCTTATCCATGTGTAAAATGATTGTACTGACTGTTTTCACGCCCTGCACCATTCCAAATACAGGATATCATCCCTTTGCCTAGATGAGGAAACAGAACCTGCTAGAACTTAGGAGGTGGGAGGGTTGTTGTGAGTCCCTGCTGCACATACTTGCTGGCCCACAGTCCCTTTCTGCTCTGTTCAGCTGCCCCGCCTGCCAGCTCTGGCTGTGAAGGGCTGCATGATTTGGGGTCTGACATGGCCTTGGTAACATCCCTTTTCTTCCCTATGACTAAGCTCTCATAAGAAGGCAGTTAGGAGTGTAGAGGGGACCGGTGTATGACAAAGGCTGAGCTAGATATTTTAGAGTAGCCTCTGGGATGCCTGTCTTGCCCCACCGAGTGTGCACAGATCTTTCCGAAGCCCAGGCCTAGGTAGAGGAGGGCAAGCAGGAGACTGTAGGATGGAGGCTTTTATTAGGATGGTGGACTTTGGCAGACCTGGGTAGAGCAGTGGACCTGTGTGAGGGGATGGCCTCAGGTACCTGGGAAAGAGGCTGCTACCTTTTTAGAACATCCTTCCTCAGGCTGCCTTTTTTTTTTTAACCACTTTATTGAGATATTTCACATACCATCATAGTCACCTATTTATTTATTTATTTATTTATTTTTAAAGATTTTATTTATTTATTTGACACAGAGAGAGATCACAAGTAAGCAGAGAGGCAGGCAGAGAAAGAGGAGGAAGCAGGTTCCCTGCTGAGCAGAGAGCCTGATGTGGAGCTTGATCCCAGGACCCTGGGATTGTGACCTGAGCCAAAGGCAGAGGCCTTAACCCACTGAGCCACCCAGGCGCCCCCATAGTCACCCATTTAAAGTAGTTTTTATTATATTCACAGAGTTTTTTAACCATCCCCACAATCTAATTTTATTTTATTTTATTTTTATTTTTTAAAGATTTTATTTATTTCACAGACAGAGATCACAAGTCAGAGATCACAAGTAGGCAGAGAGGCAGGCAGAGAGAGGGAAGCAGGCTCCCCTCCGAGCAGAGAGCCCGATGTGGGGCTCGATCCCAAGACCCCGGGATCATGACCTGAGTTGAAGGCAGAGGCCTTAACCATTAAGCCACCCAGGTGCCCCCACAATCTAATTTTAGAACATTTCAACAGCCCCAAAAGAAACTTCTTACACATTATTAATCCCACCCAAATCCCACTGTCTCCGAAGCTCTTGGCACCTAATTTACTCTCTGGCTGTATGGATCTGTGCATTCTGAGAGGTTCCGATAAATGGAATCATACAAAATGTGGCCTTTTGTGCCCGTCTCTTTCAGTTTGCATGTTTTCACAGTCCATGCATGTTTTAACATGAATCAGACCTTCACTCCTTTTCACAGTCAGATAATATTCCACTGTCTTACAAGTACCATGTTTTGTTTATGGAGTCATTGATCATTTGGGTTATTTCTACTTTCTAACAATTATGGATAATTCTGCTATGAACATTTATGTACAAGTTTGTCTGTGGGCTTATGTTTTCATTTCTCTTAGGTATATGCCTAGGAGTGGAATTGCTTGGTAACTGTGTTTTAATTGTTTGAGGAGCTGCCAAACTTTCTGAGAGAAGCTGCCTCATTTTACATTCCCACCAGCAACGCATGAGGCTTCCAGTTTCTCCACATTCTTTTTTTTTTTTTTAAAGATTTTATTTATTTATTTGACACAGAGAGATCACAAGTAGACAGGCAGGCAGAGAGAGGGAAGCAGGCTCCCTGCTGAGCAGAGAGCCCGATGTGGGACTCCATCTCAGGACCCTGAGATCATGACCTGAGCCGGAGGCAGCAGCTTAACCCACTGAGCCACCCCGGCGCCCCTCCACATTCTTGTTACCACTTGCTTTTATCCCTCTTTTAGTCTAGTCTAGTGGGTTCACTGTTGTTGTTTTTTTTTTAAGATTTTTATTTATTTGACAGACCGAGACCAAAGTAGGCAGAGAGGCAGGCAAAGGGAGAGGAGGAAGCAGGCTCCCCACCGAGCAGAGAGCCCGATGCGGGGCCCCATCCCAGGACCCCGGGATCGTGACCCAAGCAGAAGGCAGAGGCTCTAACCTACTGAGCCACCCAGTCGCCCCTCATTGTGGTTTTGATTAGTATTTTTGTAATGGCTAATCATGTTGAGCATTTTTTCATGAGCTCATTGGCCATTTGTGTATCTTCTCTGGATCCTATTCAAATCTTTTTGCCTAATTTTTAATCAGGTTGTCTTTTCATTGTTATAAGAAATCTTTATTGTCAGATTAATGATTTGCAAATATTTTCCCCTACTCCATGGGCTGTCTTTCTTGATGGTACCTTTTTAAGCACAAGAGTTAATTTTCTTTTCCTTTTTTTTTTTTTTAAGATTTTATTTTTAAGTAGTCTCTACACCTAACGTGGGGCTTGGACATATAACTCCGAGGTCAAGAGTTGCATGCTCTACTGACTGAGCCAACCAGTTCCTGAGAGTTAATTTTCAAGAAGTCCAGTTTATCTGTTTTTTCTTGTTTTACTTATTTTTTTGGTGTCATGTCTTAGAAATCATTGTCTGACTCAAGGTCATGAAGTTTTATTCCTGTATTCTAAGAATTTTATAGTTTTAGCTCATGCATTGGTTCCATGATCTATTTTGAGTTAGTTTTTGTATATGACGTGAGGGTAGGGGCTTGTGGATACTCAGTTGGCCTAGCACCGTTTGTTGAAAAGACAACTTTTTACCCTGGACTTGCCCCCTTTGTCAACTGTCAATTAACCATAGGTCCAAACTGTCATTCCTGTTCCACTAATCTTATGTTTATCCTTTGCAATACCACACTGTCTTGATTACTCTAGCTTAGTAAGTTTTGAAATTGGGAAGTAACAATTTGAAATTGTTCTTCTTCAAGATTTCCTGTTCTGTGCCCCTTGCATTTCCATATGTATTATAGGAGCCATCTGTAACTTTCTGCAAAAAAAATCCAGCTGGGATTCAGGAATTGCATTGAATCAATAGGTGAATTGGGGGGGGGGGGTATTGCCATTTTAACCTTAATAATTCTCCCAGTCTGTAAGCATTGTGTGAATTTTCACTTATTTAGCTCTTCACTTTCTTTCAACAGTATTTGTAGTTTTCAGCATACAGATCTTATGCTACTTTTGTTAACTATTCCTAAGTGTTCTCTTTTTCTTGATGCTGTTATAAAGGTAATTGTTTTCTTAATTTCATTTTTGGATTTTTGATTGCTAATCTATAGAAGTACAATTGATCTTGCAATACTTATGCCCTGCAGCCTTGCTGAACTCACTTATTAGTTCCAGTAGTTTTTTTTTTTTTTTTAAGATTTTATTTATTTGTCAGAGAGAGAGAGAGAGTACACACAAGCAGGCAGAGTGGCAGGCAGAGGCAGCG